CCGAGCCCCCAGTCCCACTCAGGTGACCCAGGCCCAGAGCCCCCAGTTCCACTCAGGTGACCCAGGCCCAGAGCCCCCAGTTCCACCCGGGTGACCCAGGCCCAGAGCCCCCAGTCCTGCTCAGGTGGGCGTAGACCCAGAGCCCCCAGTCCCGCTCAGGTGGGCGCAGGCCCAGAGCCCCCAGTCCCACTCGGGTGGCGCAGGCCGAGCCCCCAGTCCCACTCGGGTGACCCAGGCCCAGAGCCCCCAGTCCCACTCAGGTGACCCAGGCCCAGAGCCCCCAGTCCCACCCGGGTGACCCAGGCCCAGAGCCCCCAGTCCCACCCGGGTGACCCAGGCCCAGAGCCCCCAGTCCCACTCAGGTGACCCAGGCCCAGAGCCCCCAGTTCCACCCGGGTGACCCAGGCCCAGAGCCCCCAGTCCTGCTCAGGTGGGCGTAGACCCAGAGCCCCCAGTCCCGCTCAGGTGGGCGCAGGCCCAGAGCCCCCAGTCCCACTCGGGTGGCGCAGGCCGAGCCCCCAGTCCCACTCGGGTGACCCAGGCCCAGAGCCCCCAGTCCCACTCAGGTGACCCAGGCCCAGAGCCCCAGTCCCACCCGGGTGACCCAGGCCCATAGCCCCCAGTCCCACTCAGGTGACCCAGGCCCAGAGCCCCCAGTCCCACTCAGGTGACCCAGGCCCAGAGCCCCCAGTCCCACTCAAGTGACCCAGGCCCAGAGCCCCCAGTCCCACTCAGGTGACCCAGGCCCAGAGCCCCCAGTTCCACCCGGGTGACCCAGGCCCAGAGCCCCCAGTCCCACTCAGGTGGCGCAGGCCCAGAGCCCCCAGTTCCACCCGGGTGACCCAGGCCCAGAGCCCCCAGTCCCACTCGGGTGGCGCAGGCCCGGAGCCCCCAGTTCCACCCGGGTGACCCAGGCCCAGAGCCCCCAGTCCCACTCGGGTGGCGCAGGCCCGGAGCCCCCAGTTCCACCCGGGTGACCCAGGCCCAGCCCCCAGTCCCACTCGGGTGGCGCAGGCCCGGAGCCCCCAGTTCCACCCGGGTGACCCAGGCCCGGAGCCCCCAGTCCCACTCGGGTGGCGCAGGCCCGGAGCCCCCAGTCCCGATGAGGCAGGGTGCCAAGGAACTCCACAGAGATTCCCCAGGAAGGAGAAACAGGCTGTGTCTGCCCTGTGGAAGCTCCCGAATGCATGTATTTTATGGGGCTTCTAGAAGAGTATTTTAGAGTTTTTAGAAGGTGTAGGGCGATGTACAGATTAAAACCTAGGAATGAAATAGGCAGTTATTAACCTCGATTCACAAAGGTCACACAGGAAACACCACACTCCTACCTGGCTGGATACTGAGCAATACCTACAGCATTCGGCTCCTCAGGGAACAGTACGTGATGTGGGTGAAGCAGGCCTGGTCTTGTTAACAGAAAACGGTCCATGTTAATACGAAGAAGAAACAAGAGCAGCCAACGTCCCCGACAGAGGGACCAGCAGGAGGTGGGGGGGTGGTGTCTGTTCATCACTCGACCTTCTAAATCCAGCGTTTCATATTCTAGCGACACAGGCACAGCCGTAACATACACGTGGGGTTCTGGGGGGTTAGTTGCTGGAGCTCACCACCCCACCCGGGAAGCGGAGCGAGACGAGGCTGCTCGGTCGTCTCCAAGCACAAGACAGGTGGCCCAGCCCCGGGGGCCCCAGCTCTGCGCTGAGAAGACCCGTGCACAGGAGACCAGGCAAGCCACGCTCCCTGCCCCCGCAGTCACAGCCTCCGGCCGCTCGCCTGACCCAGCAAACACCAAGGAACTTCTACAGCATGCGGTGATGGTGTTTAATAAAACAGATTAAACATAGAGTTCAGATAGGCAAAAACAAAGGAAACTGGGGGAAAAGGACAGAACTTTTTATTCAAAAATTTTATATATTTTATTAAAAATTCGTTTTAAATTAATCGCAGGCAGACTGTAGTCTGCATTTCATGTATGGCACATTTCAGTTTATTATCATACTCTGTATCTTACTTCTACACACGGGCAACAGTCTAATCAGAGACTCAAGGATTTTCGTCTCTTCATCACAGAACTGAGTTATGCTTATTCAAAGGAGAAGGCCAGGAGGGGGCAGAGACACGAGGAAGCTGAGAGGGGCCAAGCAGCAGGGCTTCACCTGCCTGAGGGCTGCTCCCATCATCAGGCTGTGTTCTAGACTGTTCTAGACTGCGGAACACCACACCCCCTCACCATGCAGCTGGCACACGCCCTGAGCCCGGGCCAGGCAGCTGCTTCCCACTTGTGCCCCACTTTCCAGCCCTGCCCCTACCTGGCCTCCCCTCCTCCGCCAAGGAAGGTGACCCTGCTCCCTGCGTCTCTGCACAGCCCTATCTGCTGCCCCTGGGCAAGGGTGGCCAACGGACGGCCCTGCTGGAACAGGCCTTGGCAGTGACCTCTGAAGCTGTCCCCAGCTCCTGCCGGGCAGCCGCTCCTGAACGCACTGACGGAAGCAATACCATTTCTGCCCGTCCCATCCTTGCTCTAAGGCGGCACCAGCTTCAGGCTGTCGCTGGTCTTCCCGGGCCTCACCACCGCTTGTTCCTGAGTTGACAACTGGCTGTGTCTCCAAGCAGTCCTTCCACGGGACCATCAGGGTGATTCTGCTTCCTGCCACGTCTCTGAACAACTCACTGCCCCAAAGTCTTCTTGCACTGAGCACTGAGGGCCCTGCACAGCTGGCTTGGCAGCCGGCTGTCCATCTCCAGAGCGGGGCATCCCTGGCCACTGGCTCTGCCATCAGCTCTCCCTCCAGCACCCCGCGGGCCAGCCCTGCCGTCACCAGCTCCTCGCCATCTGCCTCAGCTCCAGGACACAGCGCCTGGGGAGCTGTGGGGTCCCTTCCCACCGAGGGCACACACAGTATCTCACTGAGAGCAGGGACCAAGGCCTTTTTGGAAAATGAGCAAAATCGTTCCAAATCAAACTTAACCACACTAAATTCCTTTGTTTATTTTTGAAAGCAAAAGAATCCAAGAAAAACTCCCATTCTCAGGACATTCCCATGAACGAATGGATAAAACTCGTTGAAAACGAACGCAAACCTGTTTTGCGGAGCATCAGTTCTGGGGTGTTCTCACCTAGAACACCTGTTCCTGACTCTCCCTGGTTGCACTGGGACTGATGACATCCCCACGCGGGGCACAAGGGACACGCTTCCCGGGCCTGATCAGACTGCGAGCAACGGTGGGGGAGTTAACAGGCGCAGCCCCCAGAGGAGAACACTCTGCCTCCTCCACTCTCGAAAGAGCAAGTGCACACAGCACCAAGGACTGCACGGCGTGAGGCTCGGCCTTGACTCCACTCTGAGTGCTTCACAGAGAAACCCGAGCCCCACCAAGCTTCAGCGCCAGGTCCCGTGGTGCACAACGGCCCCAACCGCTGAAGCCCAGGGATCTGGGAGCGAACAGAAAGACCTCAGATCCCTTCAAAAGCCGAGAGAAACACACAAGTGGATCCGTTACACAATTAAGATAAGCTAGCTAAGAACTGAAGCTAACAGATCGAAGCTTCAGCTCCAAGTTAATCGGAGTCCTACCCCTCATTGCGTAATTCCTAGAATGCAAGTTGGACTAATTACATGACTTCCTTTGAATCTTTATTAGAAATGAAAGAAATTCAGGTGAACAACTAATTGACAACTATACAAACGAAACGGTGTTCCCGCTCCCATTAAAGCTCTGTGGTTAACACCAACGACTTGGCCAGTGAGGACCACTTGGCCAGTGAGGGCGCCGGGCCACGCCTGTGCCCAGGTGAGCCTGTGACATAAAGTGCTACTCGGCGCTGGGGAATAACGAGGATCACCGACAGGGAAACTCTCTGGACGCTCTCTCTCCAGGCTGCAGGAGAAGCCAGGTTACAGCCAGCAGCCTACATAAAAACAAAACAATAAGCTGTCCAAACAGCCATCTACTGGCGCCTCTCACAAACGAATACACGGTCTGGGTGAAAGTCTTCAAATCACAGCAAACATCAACTTGAAAAGGACACGCACCCGATGGGACTCGCTGCTATTTCTAAACGATTAAACTTGGATCTTCACGTGCTTCTAGTACCAATGTTCATCGCCAAGCAGGGCTGCACAGGACGGCCCAGGTACCTCAACAGCGAGTCCCTCCCCGTTGTATGACGCACTTAACGCAACTCAAAACCATCAGCTTTCCCCACACGGCAGTGTAAGCTGGGAGAGCCGCATTTGTAACGTGCGTACTTATGCCAGCAAGAATGAAATCCAGAGGGCAAAGGAAGCGGCCCCTCCCCCAGCATTTCCGCCAACAGTCCTTCGATATAAGTACGGACATCTTCAAGGGGTGAGAAAGATCGAAGATAAACTTTCCTGAAACAGAACATGGAGTGGGAAGATGCTGGAGAGGACTTGGTGTTTGCCAGAGGGAAGTGTTTGCTCTCGGAGCCGACTAATGGACAGTCAACCTATGGAGCTCCTGAATTATCCGGAACAATACAGTTTGTGGTCTGAAAAAACAGCAGTATTCGTTTTCCAGGCAATATACTCTTAATATTAAGTTACTTATACACTTTAAAATACATAATCTGCACTTAAATACACTACCTTTTTAATGGCCTTTCTCACCTATCTATAACTTTGTTTTCCTATTAAAAACAAATGCAAGACACACTGCTGAGTTCTAATTTCTAACTGTAAGGCATCTTCAAAATATCTTCTCTTAGGACACACACATGATATAAAAACGAAAAATCAAACACAGAAGCAGCATAATAAATACGTTCGTACCCCTCCCGCCAGCAAGGATCAGCTGACACCAGTGAGAGCGACTTCCTGTGCATACAGAGACAACTGAGAGACACGTGAACGGCCTCGGAGTCGACCACACAGACCCCCCGGTTCCCATCCCTCGGGAAAGGCAGGATGCGGCACGGGAGAGGCGAGGCTGCCCAGGTTTTCCAAGTTTTGAAAAGAATCGTACACAGCACACGAGCGTGGCGACAGAATACTTAGATGATCTGTAATTGGTCACGAAGGCTACCGCAAGACACGGCTTTAGTCACAGTTCTCGTCCTCGGTCGCAGCAGGTGTGCCGACTACACGGCCTCTGCGTAGTCCAGATATTTTGCTGTGATGGGCTCTTCCAGCTGAATCCCGCCACTGCCCATGAGAGCAAATGCTGGGTACATGGTGTGCGAGCAGTCCACCGGGCGCTCGTACAGGCACCTCATGCGGTCCATGTCGTAGAAGCTCACCTGGCCCTTATCACAGTCCAGGCAGACCCCTATGCTCGCGGGCATGGGAAGAACTCTGTTCTCAGGTTCATTAGACGAAGTGGGTGACTTGGGTATAAAAACTTTCTTCATGCCGATGGTAACCAATGTAAAAGGCTGTGAAGAGTCAAAGCTCGCGTCTTCACTCCCGCTGTCGTGGCCGCTGTCTTGCTCATATCTGGAACACGAGACAAAAACAAGCCATCTGCATCTCCAGCCACAGACTCCAGAGTTCTGAGGGTCTTCACGTGGCAAATGCACACTGATTCAGAGTTAAAAGGGCTTTCACTTCAAACACTCTGATTCACAAACGTAACCAACTTAGAAACAAAGACGACACACTGCCATTTAGGATGATCCCAGACTCAGCCTCTCACTGGCTGCCAGGAAGCACTGTCCCCTTCTACCTAGACAGAGAGGAGGGCCTGAAAACGGGGCAGCAGTGAGTGTGGACACCTGGAACAAGGCAGGGAAGAGGGGAGCAAAGGGACGGGTCACAGGCTAAATACTGACGGCACACAGCCACACGCCAGAAGACAGAGAGAAGACGTGGCCCTGACCCAAGGAGGCAGCAGCCTGACATCGGCGGGCTCTGCAAGATGGCCCGAGACAGAAGCACGGTCCACCCTGCACCCGACCAGGTGTCCACAGCGTGCAGGATGGACCCAGGCTAGCCAGCTGCTTCTGTCTCTCTCGGAAAACAGTAAAACGCTTACAGAGAATTCTCTCTCGTTTTTCATTTAAGATGCATTTATTTATTTATTTGAAAGGCAGAGTGACAGAGAGGGAGAGACTGGCAGAAAGAGAGATCTTCCGTCTACTGATTCGCTCCGCAAGGGGCTGCAGAAGCCTGGGCTCAGCTGGGACTCAAACTAATGCTGTGGCAGGAGATGCCAGCATGGCAAACTGAGGCCTTACCTGCTGGGCCCCGGCAACAGGCCTGAGAAGTCTGACCCGAGCCAACACGCCCCTCCTCCTGTGCACGGCAACAGGCCTGAGAAGTCTGACCCGTGCCAACACGCCCCTTCTCCTGTGCACAGCAACAGGCCTGAGAAGTCTGACCCGTGCCGACACGCCCCTCCTCCTGTGCACGGCTCGCTTTTTATATATTTGGGATCAAGACCACAACAACTACTTCCCAGGCTATAAACTTTTAAAAAATTAATACTAATGTTCAATCAAGTAGGCAAGCTACTATGATTTAATTAACCATTTACAATATTCAGGATTATGTAAATTTTTGTCTTTGTGCAAAAAATTTTTCCTCTTTTTAAATTTCTTATTAGTTTAAAATTTTATTTGAAAGGCAGAGTTACAGAGAGAGGGAGACAGAGCTCTTCCATCCACTCACTCCCCAAATGACTGCAACAGCTCTGAGGCTGGGCCAGGTCAAAGCCAGAGGCCTGGAACTCCATCTAGGTCTCCCACGTGGGTGCAGGGGCCCAAGGACTTGGGCCATCTTCTGCTGCTTTCCCAGGCCACAGCAGAGAGCTGGACTGGAAGTGGAGCAGCTGGGTCTCAAGCCGGTGCCCATGTGGGAGGTAGGAGTTGCAGGCAGCTTACTTAACCCACTGTGCCACGATGCCAGGTCCCAAAAGTTTGTCCTATCATTCAGAATGACCCAGGAGACAACTCAGACGAAGTAAAAAAACTGACCAACTGACCAGGCTTGTCACCTTGCCCTTCTAAAGGAAGCTAAGCTGTGCGGTATTAGTCTCTCTAGAAGCTGCGATCTGTGGCTGTGGAAACACATCTACCATGAGCGAATGTTGTGAGGAACACAGGACAAAGTTCAAGGAAACTGAGTCCCGAGGGAAGAACTCCAGCTCAGCACCAGCTGTGAGGGCGGCAGTTAAAAGCAGTTCACACCTGCACGTGGGTGATTCCTATCGTGTAGTTCAGGTAATGTGCACAAGACTCCTAAAAGTTAACGCCGTGGAGCTGCATCGCTACCGAGAGGTCACCTAAACAGGTGTGTGTCAGTGTGACATCAAAACGGAACCCCTAAATCTCACCATTCGGCCTGTTCTCACATGGGCCAGCCACACAGCACAGCCGGAACACCCAGATCTAAGGGACGTGTTTCAGAAGCAATAGAAACCCGAGGGTACTTCAGGCTTATCTTGTTGAACAAGGCTGTTTACCTTCACAAGAATGATCAAGTTTCTGATCAATAAGGAGCGGAGGGCGGGTGTTTGGTGCAGTGGTGAAGTGTCCCTTGGGGCACCCACGTCCTGAATCTGAGTGCCTGGTGCAAGTCCCACCTCCACGTCCAGACTCGTGCTCATGTGCACCCTGGGAGGCGGCAGGGGGCGGCTCAGGTACTTGATTACCACACCCACGCCGGAGACCTGGTCTGAGTTCCTTGGCTCCAGCCTGGTCCAGTCCTGGCTGTTTGTGGGCATTTGAGGGGTGAACCGGCACAAAGATCTTTCTCCATCTGCCTGTTGGCCTTTCTCTGCATTTCAAATAAAGTGAGAAAATAATAGAGACAAAAATGACAGGGCCAGCACTGTGGTGTAGTGGGTTAAGTTACCACCTGTGGCACTGGCATCCCATATGGGCGCTGGTTCGAGTCCTGGCTGCTCCACTTCGATCCAGCTCTCTGCTGTGGCCTGGGAAAGCAGCAGAAGATGGCCCAAGTCCTTGGATCCCTGCACCCGCGTGGGAGACCTGGATGGAGTTCCTGGCTCCTGGCTTTGGCCTAGCCTCAGCCTCTGTGGCTATTTGGGAAGTGAATCAGTGTATGGAAGATCTCTGTCTCCCCCTCTCTCTGTGTGACTCTGCCTTACACACACACACACACACACACACACACGAACAAGAGCACACAGCAGGCTCTACCTTGGGCTGGCCGTGTCCCGAGGAGAGCGGAGCCACTCCTGCAGCTTATCGCTGGAAGCCACGCCCACTTTCACCAGGTAGGAATAGGGCTCCACGCGCAAGGCCCAGAAGTGCTTCCCTTTGGTGATGCCGACGTCGCCGATGATGTAGTCCAAGGTTGTGTAGCAGCCCACTTGGATGCGCTCAGCCGCGAGCAGGATGTTAAACCCAGCTCTGCTCTCCACCCGGTCTCTCTTCAGGTTCAGCAGGAGGTGTTCGTTGTTGTAGCCGCATTTCTCATCGAAGAGGAAACTGAAGACTAAACAGACGTGAATCTGCAGTCAGCCTCAAAGTCACGTAAGGTTAGACTTACCAGGTTTCCCAAATGGGAATTTCCAAGAGACAGGAAGAGCCAGGTGTCACCAGGCTCGCCACCATGACAACGCAAACCCCATCAGCGAGGGCTCCCAGGCCGTCCTCCACCATCTTCACAGACCCCCGAGGTAGGCGTCTTACCTGCTGGTGAAACCTACGAAAGCAGCTCTTGGAACAGGGACGGCAAAGCAAATGTGGGTATTGCATGCGTTATACCTAACTAAAATAAACGGCAAGGGCCAGTGCTGTGGCTCAGCAGGTTACAGCCGCGGCCTGCAGCACCAGCATCCCATATGGGTACCAGTTCAAGTCCCAGCTGCTCCACTTCCAATCCAGCTCCCTGCTAATGTGCCTGGGAAATCGGCAGAGGATGGCCCAAGGGGCCCCTGCACCCACATGGGAGTGGTTCCTGGTGTCAGCCTGGCCCAGCCCCAGTCATTGCGACCATTTGAGGAGTGAACCAGTAGATGGAAGATTCTCTCTCTCTCTCTCTCTCTCTGTCTCTCCTTCTCTTTCTGTGTAACTCTGCCTTTCAAATAATAAATAAATCTGAAAAAAATAAAATAAGCAGCAGCACATTTTCATGAACAGTTATGCATTTTCTTATACGTTTCATCCAAATTTTGTAAATTTGGAAAATGTTATCTATTTTAATAAGGTCTTAACCGCCTCAATCAAATGGCAGACATGAGAAATCTGGTGCATTGCTTCAAAGAAATAAAATCACGGGCTCTGGGTTCAGAGACACCAGGTTCAAATCCCTGCACACACCTTTCACTCGAGTCTGACCTAGACTTTAGCATCCTGTGCGGCAGAGCGGACACAGTCCACCTAGCTCCCTCCCAACACGGACCCAGTAAGCTTCAGACTGGTACCAGCCACCGCGCAGCAACCCCAGGGCCAAGGGAAAGTGGCCCGTCCGTGCAGTGGGCAGCGCACCTTAAAGAGGAGGAATCAGCTCCATGCTACAACACGGTGGGCACTGACAACAAAGAGACAAACGTTGTGACCCCGCATGCACGGGGAACCCCAAAGAGGCAGAAAGCAGACAGGTGATGCACTGGGCCCTCACGGGTCAGAGGCCACTGTGGGGTCCTCTGGGGACGGGGCCCTCACGGTCTGAGGCCACTGTGGGGTCCTCCGGGGACGGGGCCCTCACGGGTCAGAGGCCACTGTGGGGTCCTCTGGGGACGGGGCCCTCACGGGTCAGAGGCCACTGTGGGGTCCTCTGGGGACAGGGCCCTCACGGGTCAGAGGCCACTGTGGGGTCCTCTGGGGGTGGGGCCCTCACGGGTCAGAGGCCACTGTGGGTTCCTCCAGGGACAGGGGCTTCACTGTCTGAGGCCACTGTAGGGTCCTCTGGGGACGGGGCCCTCACGGGTCAGAGGCCACTGTGGGGTCCTCCAGGGATGGGGCCCTCACGGGTCAGAGGCCACTGTGGGGTCCTCTGGGAGTGGGGCCCTCACGGGTCAGAGGCCACTGTGGGTTCCTCCAGGGACAGGGGCTTCACTGTCTGAGGCCACTGTAGGGTCCTCTGGGGACGGGGCCCTCACGGGTCAGAGGCCACTGTGGGGTCCTCCAGGGATGGGGCCCTCACGGGTCAGAGGCCACTGTGGGGTCCTCTGGGGGTGGGGCCCTCACGGGTCAGAGGCCACTGTGGGTTCCTCCAGGGACAGGGGCTTCACTGTCTGAGGCCACTGTAGGGTCCTCTGGGGACGGGGCCCTCACGGGTCAGAGGCCACTGTGGGGTCCTCCAGGGATGGGGCCCTCACGGTCTGAGGCCACTGTGGGGTCCTCTGGAGACGGGGGCCTCACGGGTCAGAGGCCACTGTGGGGTCCTCCGGGGACGGGGCCCTCACGGGTCAGAGGCCACTGTGGGGTCCTCTGGGGACGGGGCCCTCATGGTCTGAGGCCACTGTGGGGTCCTCTGGGGGTGGGGCCCTCACGGGTCAGAGGCCACTGTGGGTTCCTCCAGGGACAGGGGCTTCACTGTCTGAGGCCACTGTAGGGTCCTCTGGGGACGGGGCCCTCACGGGTCAGAGGCCACTGTGGGGTCCTCCAGGGATGGGGCCCTCACGGTCTGAGGCCACTGTGGGGTCCTCTGGGGACGGGGCCCTCACGGTCTGAGGCCACTGTGGGGTCCTCTGGGGACGGGGGCCTCACGGGTCAGAGGCCACTGTAGGGTCCTCTGGGGATGGGCCCTCACGGGTCAGAGGCCACTGTAGGGTCCTCTGGGGACGGGGCCCTCACGGGTCTGAGGCCACTGTGGGGTCCTCCAGGGATGGGGCCCTCACGGTCTGAGGCCACTGTGGGGTCCTCTGGGGACGGGGCCCTCACGGTCTGAGGCCACTGTGGGGTCCTCTGGGGACGGGGGCCTCACGGGTCAGAGGCCACTGTAGGGTCCTCTGGGGACGGGCCCTCACGGGTCAGAGGCCACTGTGGGGTCCTCTGGGGACGGGGCCCTCACAGGTCAGAGGCCACTGTAGGGTCCTCCGGGGACGGGGGCCTCACGGTCTGAGGCCACTGTGGGGTCCTCTGGGGACAGGAGAGCGGATGGCAGCTCAGGACTGTGCATGCACTGAGTTTAACCTCACTGAGCTGCACACTAGGAAACAGCTGAAAGTAAATTCGACCTCCAACACAATTTCTACAGACGCCTGCTGGCCACAACGCCATTCGTCACAGCGGCTGGCGGCTCTTCTTGGAAACGCCCACTGACAGCCACACTAATCCTGCTTCCCCTCAACCCCCGGATGCCCCCCTCCTGGTCCACACAACAAATGTAAAGGGCCACGCTGGTTACGTGGCTTCAGCCAGAAGCCAGGAAGAGAAGCCCTAAGGCCTCCCGAGCTCCCCTCCCACCCCGACCAGGGCCCTGGGACCGGCAGCCTCGTCCCGGACTCTTCTCCTTCTTCCATTTTTGGTCAGAGACCAGAAAAGAATGTGGAAATAGCATAGACCATCAACCACTCACTTAATGCTCTCAGATTCATCCTGAAACTCTCCACTGGATTATACGGAAATCCAGTAAAAATACTTTTTAGCCTACCATATATGTATCTGCATTCTGATTTTTCTGTTTTTAAGTCTACAATAAGCCTGAAAAACAAACAGCAGAGAAAACACACTGTTTCTATTTCAGACAAAAAGGGAAGGAAGGGTAGAGGCAGAAAGCAGGGCACAAAACCAGTGCAAGGGGCGGGGCCGTGGTCTACACCAGCCCCCAGTGTCTGCAAGAGGGGCTCTCCTGCTGGGCAGCGCCAGCACAGCCTCCCAGCCGAGCCAGCGTCCCAGCTCCCCACCCGCCAGCGTGCAGCTCAGACACAGTTCACCTGGCGCTTCAGAACCTTTGCGGGAAATGTGCTGTTTTGGTTCAAAAAATAGTTGTGAAATCTACCCACAGTTTTCCCTTAAAAACTGTGCACTTCTGTGACGGCCCCTCAGACGCACAGATTTCACATACAGTGTGCACTTCTGTGACGGCCCTTCAGACACAGGGATGTCAGCAGCGAGGTCCCGCCACGTGCTGAGAGTCATGGAGTCGGAGTCGGAGAGAAAATCCACACCTCCAAGAGCCCAGCTAAGTCAAACCTGGACGGCAGATACTATAATGATCAAATTAAAAATACCTAGCTAGGGGAAAACAGCAGAAGGTGGCCCAAGTCCTTGGGCCCTGCATCTGCGTGGGAGACCTGCGTGGGAAGAAGCTCCTGGCTCCCGGCTTCGGATCGGCACAGCTCCAGGCATTGCAGGCAACTGGGGAGTGAACCAGCGGATGGAAGACCTCTCTCTCTCTCTCTCTCTCTGTCTCTCCCTCTTGCTGTCTGTAACTCTACCTCTCAATTAAATAAAACAAACAAACAAACAAAACAAAACAAAAAAAAAACTAGCGAGCGGCCATGCTTTAGAGAACCGAATAGAACTATTCTACTTAAAACTTCTATTTAATCCGACGGCACACCCTGCCCACTCAAATGCCTGCCTGACGCCGGTCAGAATCTAAGCCTGGGCTTCGTGTTCCATTCATTTCTGCACCTTCACTGGGGGCGGACGCCCACTTTTCAGGAGTCTTGTGCAAACGCTGGGGTCTGCACTCTGTCAAGGTCTCCCCCCGGGGCCGTTTCCCGTCCCAGGTGCCCGGTACCTGGGGCCGGCGGCGTGTGCAGAACCAGCTCCCGGCTGCAAGGGCTGCAGACGGAGCCGCGGTAGGCGCGCACGCGGAAGGCGTAGCTGCAGTTGTCCTCCAGGTCCGTCACCACTTTGCTGGTGCCGCACACCTGCAGCTCACGCCAGGGCACCATCTCCTCCTCCCGGTCCAGCTTCCGGTACTCCAGGACATAGCTATCCGCCTTGCCCTTCTCCGGGTGGTGCCAGGTGATCAAGGCACTGTTGTAAACCCTGCTCTGCTCCTCGCTGATCTCTGGCACGTCCAGGCCTGGAAGAGGTGGGAGAGGCGACACCGTTACAACACCGGGCTCGCACGGGCTGCTTCCACGAGGGGCACTCCACGACTTTCACACTGTCCACACTGTGCCCGTCTCCAGTCCCATGTATAAGAAGAACAGCAAATATTTCCAGATACTAAGCCAACAAATTTAAGATAAACCTACCTAGATTTAATGTGTTAGATTTCTTTACACTGAGAAAAAAATACAGAATTACACTCTAAAACTTTAAAGGTAGCAATCATGCTATTCTAATCCCAACTTAACCTTGTATTTACAACAGAAATGAAAAAGAAGAATGAAACACAGGAGACAAAGACTCAATTAAAGCTTTGAGAAGTATAATTATTAATTCTGAAACATCATCAATGAAATTTTTCAACCACACACCTCCCGCCTACTAGTAACAGCTATGCACTTGAAATTTTCTTTATGTTTTCCTATCAACAAATGACAATTTTACTATTTTAAAAACTAAGTTTGGTGACAGAAGCAAACAACCTCCCAATGAGCACTGTGAATCTCGTTCCATGCTTTCTCCCACACAGTCACAGAGCAAGTTCATTTTTCTTGGCATAAACATGATACAGATTTTTCTAAGAAAATAAAAAAATCAAACACACAAAAAATGTTAAATAACTCAGAGATGAGCACTATAACAATGGCAGAGACCATGCCAGCATGCCCCCCGCTGGTATTCTCTATGTGAGTGTATCGATATTTAACAGTCTAGTTTCTAAAACAGGTTTCTAATATTCCACTAATGACGACTACATTATAGCCAAGTGCTTGTGCAGATGCAAAATCCCTTCCACAGAACAAATTCCCAAGCTTGGGTCATTTGGTTAGAACAATAAGTTATAAAAGTTCCATGTGGGGGCCCGGTGCTGTGGCTGCTCCAGTTCCAATCCAGCTCCCTGCTGTGGCCTGGGAAAGCAGCAGAAGACGGCCCAAGTCCTTGGGCTCCTGCACCATGTGGGAGACCTGGAAGAAGCTCCTTGCTCCAAGCTTCATATGTACCCAGCTCCAGCCATTGTAGCCATCTGGAGAGTGAACCAGTAGATGGAAGACCTCTCTGTTTCCTTCTCTGCCTCTACCTCTCTGTAACTCTACTTTTCAAATAAATAAATAAATCTTTAAAAAAAAAAAAGTTACACGTGGGGCAGGTGCTATGGTGCAGCAGCACCAGGCATCCCATATGAGTGCCAGTTTATGAGACCCGGCTGCCCCACTCCCGATCCAGCTCTCTGCTGTGTCCAGGGAGAACAGCGGACGATGTTCCAAGTCCCTGGGCTCCTGCACCCACACGGGAGACCCGGAAGAAACTTCTGCCTCCTGGCTTCGGCCTGACCCAAGCCCCTGGCCATTGCTGCCATCTGGGGAGTGAATCAGCAGATAAAAATCTGTCTCTCTCTCTCTCTCCTCTCTCAGTAACTTTGGCTTTCAAATAAACAAATAATCTAAAAACAAACAAACAAACCAGGTATGGCTAGTATTGTGGTGTAGCAGGTAAAGCCGCTGCCTGAAACGCCAGCATCCCATATGGATGCCGATCCAAGTGCCTGCTGCTCGTCTTCCGATCCAGCTCTCTACTAACACACCTGGGAAAAGCAGAGGAAGGCGGCCCAAGCACTTGGGCCCTTGCCATTCATGTGGGAGACCTCGATGAAGCTCCTGGCTCCTGGCTTCAGCCTGACCCAGCCCTGACTGTTGTGGCCTTGTGGGGAGTAAACCAGAGGAAGGAAGATCTCTCACTGTCTCTATAGCTTTCCAGTAAGACAGGTAGCCAAAAAACATAAGGTTATACATACATACTCACACTAAAGCACAAAACAGGATATGAAGTGAGATCACAGATAAGGACAAAAGGACATAAGCATGCACTGACAGAATCACTACACAGCCACAGAAAGACCTGCAAAATCACGCTAAATACATAAACGTTTATTTACTTATTTGTTCTCATTTTATTTGAAAAGCAGGAAGACAGGGAGAAATCTTCCATCCACTGGTTCAGTCCCCAAATGCCAAGACAAAGGTAGGGACGAAGAACTTACTCCAGGTGCCCCTCGTAGGTGGCAGGGGCCCAAGCACTTGGGCCACCACCTGCTGCTTCCAGGAATACACATTAGCAGGGAGCAGGGGCGGAAGCAGGGGAGCCAGGACTCGGAGCAGCTGCTCCAGGATGGCCTGCGGGCATCCCAGGCGGCCTCTTCGTGGCTGTGCCAAATCTCCACGCCCAGAACACACCATAAAGCCTAAGAAAATGGAGAAGGCACAGAACACCACAAGCAGCACACCCCACTCCACACCCTGTTCTTCTTCTGAAACACAGACTACTAAAAAGTGTGCACACAGGAAAAAATGGGGGGACACCACTGGTCAGAGGTGGGGGTAGGACCACGCCCACCGACCTGCGCAGGTGTGAGCTCTACCCACACGCAGTGCCACCTTGTCAGAGACCCTGGCAGAACTGTCAGGTCAGCTAACATATACATGCAAACCAACTCTGGGGTAACAGAGGGAGTGCAGGAAGGAGAATCAGCCCTCGACGTAGTAGCAAAAACGAGTCATGTAATAAACGTCTATCAGACTCAGGGGTAAAAGAAAGGTCCCAGTCACCAGAGCTGCTAGGAGACACGAGCCAGACCTCCTGGGACTGAACGTGCAGAGCCCCAGCCCAGCCCTCTCTGGTCAGCGGGCGGCTGAGTCAGGACGGCGATGCTCACGTCACTGGGGGATGAGGCTCGGGAGCCGAGGGCGGCCAGAGGGAGGGAGGAGCAAGATAAGAGCTCCCAGCTGTGCAGCACACACCCGGAGCGGGCCAGGACCTGAGCCCTGAAAACCACACGCTGATGTCCCAACACCCACACCCCAGCGTGCCACCGCACCCAGGACCACTGACATCCCTGTGGGAAGAGATCGGGACACAAAGGGGACTCTGGTGACGTCAAGGGGAGACCATGGCACCCAGCAGGCAGGGGAGAGGCCTCAGAAGAGACCAGCCGGGTCCACACCGTGGCGGGGAGCAGCCCTGGCCACACCTCCGGGCCCCGGGCTCCCCCGGGCAGCTTCAACTGTCTGTGCAGATTACGTTCTTGTGGAGAGTGACCCCTGAAGTGAGCAGTGCGGCTGGCCCTACAGGTTCCCTGGCCACAGGCTCAGGAAGAAGTGACCACCTCCCAACAACAGACTGGAGCCCGCTCTGCGGTCACACAGCACCGCTGACCAGCCAAAGGAGGGCCGTGAGCACTCCGGACAACCAGGGAGCTGCACGTGAGTGGACCACGCGCCTGTCGGCCTCAGCTGCCATCCCCAAGGCCCGTTCCCCGGGCCCCGCGGAGTCTGGGCACCGACACAAGCTGAGGGCCGGGGCTGGCCTGCAGGGCACTGGGTGGGCAGACCCAGGCCTGGGGGCTTCTCCAGCTACCTGGCACTTGCAGGCTCCGGCTGCTGTGTAGACCCGGAGAGGCGCACAGAACCCTCGTGAAGATACGCCTGAGCCGGCTCTCGCCCGCAGCTTCCATCTCCACCCTGGAGACGCTCACACCGTGCCCAGGGCAGCACGGGCAGAGGTTCCGCACGGCCGTGCCCACGACAGAGAAAATCCAGAAACAAGCCTCCTCGCAGGGAGAGGATTCACTTACGAAACGCCCCAAACAGCTCGAGGAGGGCTCTAGACCAGAGCCGCAGGTGCTAGCTAGTACTTACCTTAAATGTTTGAGAAGCAACTTATAAAAAGGACACATCTAACCCAACACGATGTACGCAGTGTTGAAAAGCACACAACCCAACAGGACACAGCCTCTGCACGTAAGAACACAGTCACGAAGGCCACTACTCGGCAGAGTGGTGAGGACGAGCTGGGCGCGGGGCACCAAACATCAGGGTGCCGGGCTCGGCCCCGGCCCTGCTGCTGACCCAGCTTCCTGTGCTGCCCACCTGGGAGGCAGCGGTCCTGGCTCCAGTTCCTCGGTCCCCGCCACCCATGTGGAGACCTGGTTTCGGTTCCTGGCTCCCGGTTTCAGCCACCACCACGCCCGGGGCTACTGAGAAGATGTGGGAAGTGAACCAGGGCAGGAGCACTCCAGCTGCCCCTAAAATCAATTAAACGGAACACGGCGGCCCCGGGCAACCGGGGTGCTGCTTCTCCCACCACGCACGCCGCTGTGCCTTCGCCGAGACTCACCGCTGGAGAAGAAGGACAGCTCTCCGAGCAGCTCTGTTTGCTTCGATGTGTTAACAACAAAGTCTTCAAAAGAGGTCTGAGCCGCAGGCCGGAAGCTCTTCAAAGACTCAGTAGCTTTCTGTATCCTGCAGACAGACCCACGTCATGTCAAAGTGACTCTTCACAGACACACCAGACCAAGCACCCGCTCACGCCAAGCCGAAGCACGCCGCCCGCGGGCCCCTGCGCATACCTGAGGTGCAGCTGCTTGGCCGTCTGCACGAAGCAGGACTGGTCGGTCTCCTTGAGCACCTCCTGGGCGTAGCCCACCAGCCCGCTGTTCTCCAGGAGGCCCTGGTACTCCTCCACTTGGCTCTGAAACTTGTCCAACCGCAGCTTCTTGGAGGTGTCGATGGCCTTCAGGACAGACGACTTCCTCTCTTCTAGAACCTCAAAGAGCTTCTCAAAGTGTGTGACTGCTTCTTCTTTAGCCCGCTCTCCATTGCACTGCAGCAAAGCAAACCACACCTCACTTCAGCGCCCCAAAAATCCTGCAGAGTGACTGCCCACGTGACGACAGAACGACCAAGTTCAACAGAAGAGAGAGAGAAGTGGCAATGGTCTGACAGCCACGACGCCCTACACTGGCTCACGGCTCCCAGAGTGATCGCGAGCGGCATTCTGGACTTTGTTTCAGACGAGAGAAGCAAAGCCAGGAAAAACACGCGGATCTGAAAGTAGCCCCCCCCCCTGCATCTCAAACGCCGTGACTTAGTTTCTCCTTTTCTCATCGAGGCCCAGCGCTCAGCGTGGAAGTGCACAGAGCAGCGATCCTGCCATGCACGCCCACGTGGCCCGCCGGCAGCCCGACCCAGGCACACCCCCGCAGCCCTGCCGCCTTTCCAGACCCTGAAGCCCTCCGCAGGGATGGCGACAGCTCCACCTTCTGTGACGCCGTGCTACCAGTGTCGGCATCATCACACAGGATGCGCTCGCCTGTGTCTGGCCCCTTCTCTCAACATCGGGGCCAGGCTGAGCTCACAGACGCCTGCACTGCACAGCACCCATTCTGCTGTTTCACTGCCCTGGGTGTCTGCACACCTCCACTCAGCAGTCATGACAAACAGCACAGCCACAGACACTCTAATACCTATCTTTTCCTAAAGGTAATCCAGGAACACCTGGAAGTTTAAATAAACCTGGCCTTATCCACATACAGTCCATTTTCCAAAAGCTGTGTCACTTTTAAAACGACAGGTAATCCAGGTGGGCATTTAGCCCAGTGGGTAAGATGTGGGCTAGTCCCACACTGCAGTATCTGGGTTCGACCCCCAGTCCTGGCTCCCAATTCCAGCTTCGGGCACCCTGGGAGGCAGCGGATCCTGACTTGAGTATCTAGGTCTCCACCACCCACGTGGGAGACTCGGAATGAGTTCCTGGCTCCTGGCTTCACAGCCTGGCCTAGCCCTGGCCATTGCAAAACATGCGGGGAATGACCCAGTAAATGGAAAATCTCTGTCTCTTTTTCTCTGTTTGCCTCTCTACTTCTCCAATGAACATAAATAATTTAAAAATAAAACACACACAATTTAAAAGTGATCATGACCCAGATCTCACTGCTGGTGAGCCCGTGACTTCCACACACTCATGAAGAGCTGGCCTGGCCGTCATCCTGTCCCCACTGCGCCTGCTCTCGGTCCCCGCTGCCAGCCACAGCCCAGGCGGCACAGCACTCCAGCCCATCATCACACACCTCCCCCCAGCGCGAGGCCCTGCACAGGTCGCGTGACGAGCGGAGCAGGGAGACGTGGGAAACCCGCGAGCCTCTCGGGCACTCACCTCTGTTTCCTTCATCAACAAGTTCAGCTCAGAAATCTGACTCTTCACCTGGCTCTCCTTACCAATGAGATAGTCGATGTCCTTGGACAGCTTTTCCTGCGGACACAAACGGACAGGAGGAGGAGTTCAGCGAGCCCCCGCAGGTACGTGGTTGACGACACAGCACTGGGCCCTTCCACAGCCTGTGAGCAACATGGTGGGGACCGGCCTCGGGCACCGGGGCCCAAGGACACGGGGAAGACGGGCAACAGGCTGGAAAGTAGGAAGAGGTAGCGCCGCCGAGACGAGGGCCACTCTGCGGTTCCAGTCTCACCCCCACGCCCTTCCTTCCTCCCGAGGCGCTGGGAGTCACCCTCGGACGCCATCACTGTCCCCTCGCACTCGCACGCAGCGTGCAGGGACGGCCACAAAGGGCCCAGCCCCACAGCCACTGACGAATCGCACGAGGACGAGACAGATGCTGAGGTCGGGCGGTGTTCTACGCACGTGCCTGCTGTCATGCTGGTCACTCCAGGCTGGCCCAAACGACACTCTGTGGCCGACCAGTGGAGTCTGAAACCCTAGTGAACGTGCTGAGGCGCCGTGGGAAAGCCGCAAGGGACAAAGGCACTCAGGGTCCAAGGACAGTGAGGAGTCGGGAAAACTCGTCCCCCGCGGCAGCCTCACAGGACGTGGGGAACGAAGAGGGGGCAAGGAGACAAGAGGACGGGGCCTCTGCGGCCCACACCACCTTCCTCCTCCTCGCCAGCCCAGCGCAGCCTGTGCAAAGCCAGAGCGGCGGGGCAGGGCAGCTCCCAGCCACTTGAGAGGAACAGCCCGAAGTCACCTCACCGTAGGGACAGAGGAACGAGACTTCCGAGCCCTGGAGGTGCCAAGGGCAGGGACACACAGGACCTGTGTGGTAACCCAGCCCTGCATGGATGAGGACAGCGAGGCTCCGACACCAAGCGCCTGGTGGGCAGGAGGGGAGGAGAGCCGTGCTGCCACCCCTCGCCACAAGGGAGGCGATGGTGTCTCCCCTCCAGCTCCCCCAGCCTTGTCCCCCACTAGCTGCAGGCCAGGGGTCGCTTTTAACCATAGTAGCAAAGACAGGGGTAGGCCATTCAAACCCAACCAAGAGGGTGGGTGTTGAGCCTCGGGGTTGGGATCCCCACATCCCACAATGGAGGGCGTAGGTCCAGCTCCTGGTTCTGGCTTCCTGCTGGTGCCACCATGAGGAGGCAGCGATTGACGGCACAAGTAACCCGATCCCTGCCACCCGCGTGGGAGACCCAGATGCAGTTCTGGGGTCCTGCCCTCGACCCGGCCAAGCCTTAGCCACTGTGGGTGTCAGGTGTGAGTCAGTGCACGGGGCCTCTCTCTCTCCATGTGTCCTTCCGTCTCAGTCTCTCCCCCACCACCACCAGCCTTTCAAATAAATAATTTTTAAAAACAACTAAAGGAAAATGCTAGTTCTAGAGCTGACAAGAAAGTACAGCAGACAGCCCAAGATGAGCTGACCACAAGAGGAAGGGGGAGAGAAAGAAGACAGAACCCAGAAACCCGGTCCAAGAGCAACCTCGTCTGCTCCCGGTGAGTTTTAACGCTTGGACCAAGTCTCCTGCCCACTGCAGCCTTTATGTGACTTGGCTCTGGCCTGAAAGACGAGACCCAGCTTAACCCAGACCCCGTGGTTCCGCTCACGGCTGCACCGCACACGGATCCCCGGTGCCGAGGTGGCGGAGGCTGCGGCCGCGGGGAGCACCCATTCTGGGGGAGAATTCCAAATCCTCCGGCTCACCTGGGGCCACAGTGCTCGTGGAAGCAGCCGGAGGCCACTCACTCAGCCTGGGAGCTGCTCTCGCCACAGCAGCTCCCAAACGCCGGTCCCGGCACCATCCACAGGGCCCCAGGCTCCGTGAAGGGGGCAGGGCCAGTGTGGGCACTGCCCACGCGCCCAGGGGACGCCCCCCAGCCAGCCAAGGCTGGGACCCAGTGCTTCCCTGACCACGGTGCCAAAGAAACATCTGAACCAACAAAGCAAGAGAGAAGACAGACAGGAAGGGAGAGAAATGCGCCCAGCAATTGCCCGGGTATGCCCCCCATGAGAACAGCAGGCGGGGTCAGCTCTGCTCTGCCTCTGCAGACACTCGGAATACGACGGTAGCAAGGACAGGTGCACAATGGCCCGTTTTAGTCAAGCGCCATATTATTTCAGCAAATGTGACAACACCATTCAAGTCAAATTCCACCAAAAGCGGAAATCATCAAAAATCAGCAGAAGACAAAACTAGCTGAAGCTCCCAGGAAACACTCCTTAGTAAAACGTCGCCAACTACTGCAGAGAGCAATTTCTACCCCATCGCATAGTGGAAGCCATCACACGAGAAGAGCCAACAACCAACGCCAGGACAGTCGTAGCAGAAGAAAATCCCAGAAATTCCACTGTCACCCCAAGAAGGGGGCGTGGCCTTGAGGTGTGGCCCCAGTGGGTGGGCAGACCCACCTGCCACCCCATCCATGCGTCCGAGCTGGTCGGGGGACAGGGAAGTGGGTTCCCTGTAGAGGACCATGGGAAGAAAGCTTCCCTCCTGTCTGTTCCGGGAGTGAGGGAAGCAAGCAAAGGCCGGGAGGAGAGAGAGCAGCTCTCCTGCAGACAGACGCACACAATGGGGTGTGTGTCTGTGTGTGTGTGTCTGTGTGTGTATGTGTGTCTGTGTGTGTATGTGTCTGTGTGTGTATGTATGTGTGTGTCTGTGTGTCTGTGTGTGTATGTGTGTATGTATGTGTCTGTGTGCATGTGTATGTGTGTATGTGTGTATGTGTGTCTATGTGTATGTATGTGTGTATGTGTGTATGTATGTGTGTATGCATGTGTCTGTGTGTCTGTGTGTATGTATGTGTGTGTCTGTGTCTGTGTGTGTCTGTGTATGTCTGTGTATGTGTATATGTGTATGTATGTGTGTCTGTGTGTGTATGTATGTGTGTCTGTGTGTGTATGTATGTGTGTGTCTGTGTGTATGTATGTGTGTGTCTCTGTGTGTATGTGTGTGTCTTCATGTGTGTATGTGTGTATGTGTGTGTTTATGTGTGTGTATGTGTCTATATGTGTGTCTGTGTGTATGTGTGTGTGTATGTGTGTGTATGTATGTGTGTCTGTGTGTGTATGTATGTGTGTGTCTGTGTGTATGTATGTGTGTGTCTCTGTGTGTATGTGTGTGTCTTCATGTGTGTATGTGTGTCTGTGTGTGTTTATGTGTGTGTATGTGTCTATATGTGTGTCTGTGTGTATGTGTGTGTGTCTGTGTGTATATGTGTGTCTGTGTGTATGTGTATGTCTGTGTGTCTGTGTGTGTATGTGTATGTGTGTGTATGTGTGTCTGTGTTGCGTGTCTGTGTGTGTGTGTGTGTGTGTGTGCGTGTCTGCACACCGACACAGGCAGAGGCTGCTGTATGGAAGGAAGAAAACAACCCAGGCCTCACGTAACCAAGACAGAAACCAACAGTGGGATCAGCCCTCCAGCCCAGCTTAATGCCTCAGGCCAGTTCACCCACCATGCAAGCACTTTCCAGAAGTCACAGGGCAGACACAGCGACACGGCCACCTGCGCTGGACACAGCCACCAGCACTGGACACGGCCACCTGCACTGGGCACACCCATCTGCACTGGGCATAGCCACCTGCACTGGACATGCCCACCTGCACTGGGCACACCCACCTGCACTGGGCATAGCCACCTGCACTGGACACGCCCACCTGCACTGGACACAGCCACCTGCACTGGACACGGCCACCTGCACTGGACACAGCCACCTGCACTGGACACGGCCACCTATACTAGGGCACAGGTACCTACCTGCACTGGACACACCCATCTGCACTGGGACATGGCCACCTGTGCTGGACACAGCCACCTGCACTATGGCACATCCACCTGCACTGGACACAGCCACCTGCACTATGGCACATCCACCTGCACTGAACACGGCCACCTGCACTGGGCACAGCCACTTGCACTGGACACATCCACCTGCACTGGACACGGCCACCTGCACTGGGCACAGCCACTTGCACTG